CATTTTTTTTTATTTTTTCCTACTACATTTTCCTGAATTTTTACGGATTTTTACGAAGTTTTTGAGGTTAGAATTATAAGAAGTTATGAGGTTATCCAGCTACGAAGAAGAAGAGCAGAATGATTTCAGAGGCGGAAGATCATGTACAGATAGTATCTTTGCATTGAAACAGATCATCGAGAAGAAATCTGCAATTAACCAGGAAGTTCATATAACATTCATCGATCTACAAAAAGCATATGATACAGTGCCAATAACAAAATTATGGGAAGTATTGCACTAATCCAGATTTAACGCAGCTCTGATAAAAGCTGTACAAAATCTTTACCATGGAGGAAAATCACAAATAAAAATGGTCAACGGTCTCTCAGAGGAAATTGCTATCACTAAGGAGCCCCGACAGGGTTGCTGTATATCCCCAACACTAATTAAAATTTACATTGACAAGGCCTTACATCTATTGACTAGAAAATGTAACGGAATGAGTATAGAACTAAATGACATAATATACACCTTACAATTTGCAGACGACTAGGCCATAATTGCAAACGACACAGATGACAAAAATATGCTAAATGGGGTCTCACAGTAAATACAGAAAAAACGAAATACCTCCCAATTGGAGCCAATACAGAAAATCTTATTTTGGACAATAATATGGAAATTAGGGCATGTGAAGATTACAGGTACCTGGGTTCGATATTTACAGGAGATGGAATGGACGATAGAGAAATAAACAACAGAGTAATTAATACAGGCACGAAGAGTTATCAGATACATAAATGGCATTTTATGGAGCAATGAAATTACAAAGAACAGGAAATATAATATATGCGAGACACTAGTTAAAAGCATATTAGGTACTCTATGGATGTGAAACATGGCGACTCACTGAAAGGAATAAAAGGAAATTAGAAACAACAGAAATAACATCATAAAAAAAACATCAAAGAAAGCATTCCCGATAATTAAACGAGGAGAAAAAACATAAACGTAAATGAAACAAAAAGAAAAAACAAGTTTTTCGAATTAATTGCGAGCCTGTTATTACACTTATTTTGTTTTTGATGATACCACACCCTACAAAAATAAAATTTGAAATGAACCAACGATCTGGTGTTGTTTTTCGGCTTTAATAAAGTTCCAAAGTTAATCTTAAAATCTTCTTTTATGTGCGTTTTTCTTCGCTTACACGCAAATCTGAATAATTAAATTATATTTAGGTAAAAAATAGGGATTATGCCCGAGATTTTGTTGTTTTTGTTTAAAAGCAAAAAAGCTTTTTAAATATAACACTATGTTTGGTTTACAGCTTCGTGAATATAAAAAAGGCCTAAAACTTTTTATAATCTTATAACCTACATGGAAAGGAAATTCTCTTTATTCTTGTTGAGAAACACATCAGAGGCATATGCTTATTTGACGTCTTTTTCTTTGACACTGTTTTGATTTTTAAATGCATTGTTGCCAACCATGGATGTATGCGGCGCCAGGCTGACTAACTCGAATTTAAATTTCCCGCTGGGGATTCAGGTGGTAGCTCTGCTGTAAAAAATGTCAAGTTGCCATATTTATTTATTTATTTCCTGCCATTGTCATTCATTATGACACTTTAGTTTTGTATTACGAGTTTTTGGTTTAAATGAATTGTGTTATGATAAAAATTAGCTTAAAAGTTTTTACTAACAGACCTTGCAGTCAAACATTTTTCTTATAACTCTACAATGTCATGTACCATCTAAGAACATCATGAATAAATATAGTCATTAGTTTTAAGTAATATACAACTGTGTTTTCTTTCTCTGTACATGCCTGGCGCCCAATATTTATAATTTCGAGTTATTATTGTTAATTAGTTTCTTTCCAGTGAAATACCTTATCCACGACTGCTCTACCAACAAAAAGCTGCCGTTCGCAGTGATAATGTTTTAAAAAAACGGTACAGTGTTCCGTCGTCCAACAATTCTGCGTAGAATGAGTATCAATTCGTTCAATTCGGATCACTAGCATAGCTAAAACTGATGCTTAAAAATAGTTATTTTTACCAGTTTTACCACTTCCAAAGAAGATTTCTTATCCAACGACCGTAATAAAAAAACGTCTAGTTAGCATGCTCCATAAAAAGCTAGATGATGAAGGATTTATTGTAAAAGTAGCAGAGGAAGATGCTGATATATGATTGCCAGACGATCACCAAGTCCAGACGTGGTTAGGACAGGCTAAAAATCCTCCCGAGTGGGGATGAAAAACAACAAAATACGGCTTACTATGAAGGAAGTAGCACCTCCAGAACTATACTTAATAGCGTGTCCTACAAGTGTTCTACGGAATGCCGAGGTTGCTGCAGTTGTCAGAAACCATTAGGGGACCAGAAAGACATTCAGGCTCCCCAGAAACCAGTAAGAACATATGACATTCATGCCCAAATGCGCCCGATGATGATGACATCTCGCTTGTCCTCATTAATGACGCGCACTTGTTCAATGAAGATCTAGATCAGTCAGGTATATATTACATTTGCTTCATATGCTCTTGACGCAGTAAGGCCCAATTCGCGTTTTATGTTACAGATTAAGGAGAAGATGATATCACGATTCCTGTCAAAATGTCAAACAATAACAAGTCAGTTTTGAAAGAGATTCGTTAGCCAAATGTAAGCGACTATGGGCCCGCGACTTAAAAGCGTATTTGTAAGAATATGCCATGATTCCTTGAAAAAATGCCATTCGAAAAGCAACCTAAAAATTAAATTATTTTTTGGTAAAACAACGCTGCGTAGAATGCAGACGCAAACTAGCTTGTGAGTTGCTTTTTTACTCGTGAAATAATTTTACCGAACACAACATTTCGTTTGGCAAATTTATTTTACAAGTAAAAAGTTATTGACAAGCTAGTTTGCGTCTGGATTAGACGCAGAGGTATTTTACAAAAAAAAAACTTTTATTTTTTTATGTTTCTATTTCAATGAAGGATTTGTGATGATTGTGAAGTAAGAAGAATGCTTCGTATAATGTACGTATGTATTAGTTTAATTTAGAATATTACTTCTTAAGTAATTTCGTTGAGAGTTGGACGGAAAGCAAAAATTTGTTATGGTTTATTATTTACAATGATCATTTCCGTGTGACGAACGTTTGAATGTCACTTTAATGCGTTTATCAGCAAAATTGGTAAATATCACCATTCCTCATCTTTCGATTTCTGCCATACTACTGGAATTGAACGAATTAATACTCATTATGCACAGAATTTAATGGTCTTTAATTTTTGTAATAGTAAAATATTGATTAGAACGCAACATTTCGGAATTATAGGTTACGAAATAGGTATCTGGAAAAAGTCAAAGAATTTTACCATCTTTGGGTCCTCCTAAGTCGAGCGGCTGTCTAGCAACCGTGCAAAACTAGGATACTTATCTTTCATGACAACTGAACAAATCAAGACCATAATTAGCTTTCCAACAATTTTTTCCAAGTGACCCCCAATAATAGACCTTATTTGACTGGCCTATAATGCGAAAATTACAACATAGCTTTACCCTTAAAAAACCCGTCGCAACTATATTAAACTATTTTGAACGGGAAAGCGGTAGTCATGGCCCTTTGTATCCATTAAGTGCTGTTAAGAAGGTGAGTTTTGATGATTTAAATAATAACTAACTGTTTATACATATATTTATTTTTGATTCCTAAAATATTTTGATTAAAAGAAAATTTGTCAAAGGGGGCAACGTTGTGCCGGCCAAGCTTAATCACACGACTAAAAGTTCAGTTGATATGAACTATAGGTATATTTGCTTGCTTCATCTATGTTACCGTAGATGGAGCTGAAGGCTTGGTAGGATTTATATAAATAATAAACAAAATACAAGAAGCAAAAAATTAATGCCTAAAAGGTATATTGATTGGGATGTTTAGACCACGCGGTAAAAATGAGACAAACGGTATAGAAAAAATCAGTTTATCTTCAATATCAAACATATTTTGTAGTGAATTTTTTCACTAATCGCTTTATAGCGCGGGGTTGTACAATTCTATGTTTTTTGACAATACCAAATTGGCAATCCATTGGCACGACAAAAGCCAAGTTGTTGTATTTGCTAAAGAGTTTTTCTGATATATTTTTAATATATATATAATTATATTTTTTTTTTCTTTTTTTTGCCGTTTTTGTTTTCTTTTTTTTATGTTCTTTTTCAGTTCTTATTGTGTTAAACTGTTAGTAAAGTAGTAAATAGTGACCAAATGAAAATTATCTGATAGTTTTGTTGATATCCTTTTCCATAAATCTTATTTTGTTACCTAAAGAGAATAATAGTATTTTTGATAGTTCATTCGGTTTTACAAATAAAAACATTATAAGGGTCTTATTTTTCTGCTTTAAAAATTATTGAAACAAAAATATCTTTTATAGAAGAGATTTATAAGTCATATTTTCTAAATATACTCTCATTTCTTTATTCCATACACGAGGAAACATCATCAAGCGGCTTATTTCTTTTGACTCAATGCTGCTAACATATATATTTTAGTTGCTCTTTCAGTTGAGGGTGTTTGCATTCAAATTTAGTCTAATTCATTAATTCAAATTAATGTTTGTTGTATATATTCTAATTTAGTAATTTAACTAAATTTGATGTGCTTATAAATTTTCTATACATTTATAACAATATTATATAAAAATGCATGTATAGAATTTTATATCTACATCATTTTTTATAACAATTATATTTATAGAATTCCATATATCTTTTTCCAAATGGTCGAGGAATCTTTTACTTTGTTTTCAAATTTGATTATGAATAATTTAATTCTGGTTTTGTTGCTTTTTTACACATGAAAAAGAAATATTTACAAAGAATTTTTCAATAAAGCATATGTAATAGTGAAAAACATATGACAATCTGTATTCCAAATTATGACCGTATTGAAAATTATAACTAATTAAAAAAAAAAGATAAAAAATTATAAACTAACTTTGTATCTTATTTTATTTTTTTATTTTTCGTATAAATCGTTTAATGTTATTTGTTTTATACTTAGTTATGACCACTACTTTGTTCTGAGCTTTGTAAGCTGCGCATACTATGAACTGCTTGCACTCCAGGTCCATGAGGGAACATAGGATTCATCATTACATTGCTATTATCAGTTGGAGTATATAATACTTCAGGATACACATTACTTGCTTGAGCAGCAGCTCGCATTGGTTGATGGCCACCTGCCGAAAACCCTAAAATCAGAATATTTTGATTAGTTTTTTTAACAGAGGAGAGTGAACATCTGAAGTGGTTAAAATTAATTATGAATTCTATTCAAAAAAGTTATATATTTCCTAATTTTTATAGTCCTAGTATTTTTAACAGTGTTTAATAGACATATCTGCTGAAAAAAAGTGTTCTTGAATTTAGTATATAAAATAGTTTTTTCTTTGTTCTTTGGGTTTTTTGGCTTCCGAAGAGATATACTTCCCGAAACGATAAGCATTTTTTATCTGTTAGGCAAATTTGACTACTCGTATTAGTAAATCACTGCTGCCAAGTTCGTCTCCATTGGATTAACACAGCAGTGTTTACATAAAATAACTATTTTATTTTGTAGCTATATTTTCTTTAAGTAATGGCGAATAACCATAGAATTTTTTGAAGAGATGAATCCGCCACAGTGTTAGAGGAATTTTTTATAAATATGAATTATTAATATATTTAAATTGACTTTAATTCCATTATTTGCAAATTTTTAATTTTGAACGCATTTAAAGAATAGATTTTTGTAGACACTATATTTTCTTCGTACCTGTAGTAGGTACACTCCAATAAGTACCAATAAGCTCTTGTTCTTTATTTGATTTTAGTTTAGTAATCAATACAATTAATGACAATATTAAGGCTGCCTTAGCTAAAATGAGAGCTTTTATTGCCATTAGCTTGATTAATCCGAGAAAAATTGATGCAATCAAAGCTGTCTTGTAACCAAGTACCATAGGAATGATGTACCTGTCCATTCCCTTCTTCTTTCGAGCTAAAATATATAAAAATGCATAATATTGAGAAATATTAGTATATAAATTTAATAGGTATTGTTATTTATTAAAAAAATATAGTGAAATATATTCTAAGAAACAGTTTCTTCCAAATATGTTGCACCTAGACAACATTATATAAAATCATGATAATTCATTGGTTATGGTTTCTTTTTATGAGTTTGAGAATTAATTTTTGATTATTAACCCATTCGAAGCCATGTTCAAAAATTGGAACATCTCTTGTTTTTGCTACTGTCTACTAAATGGAGTCGTATTACATTTCTATTATAACGTATATTCAAGGACAACCAAAACACATGTTGATCATGAATTTTTGAGGTTAGCTTGCAGCAGAACATAATAGGGCTTAGTTAAACTGAAATTTCTACAAGGACGCTAATACTAAATTTTCATAGCTGGATACCGTGCAGCGTATCATTAAATAATATTTGGTTTCATTGTGTTGTAAAGGAGTATTCACATCTATACCACGAATAAGTGTAAACAGAATAAATATTGTGTTATTATTTTTATCTCTCAATCTCTCTTTTTGTTATGTTCCAATAATGGAACATGGCTACATCTATTGCATTGTACTTTTCATTTTACCAACAACGCCGAGCTACCACCAAATAACAAATTTGCTATCAGACACCTGAACACGGTATTTATGAAATATACGCCACTTGCTCAGAATACCCCAATAGCCATCGATGATTCGATGGTGGGTGCCATACTATAGTCACCATAGCTGCAAGAAGAGAATTCAAGGGAAGCCTATTAGATAGGGTTTCAAATTTTGGTCACAGAATGTGTCAAATGGGTATCTAGTAAATACTGAACCATATCAAGGAAAAGGAACGGTGCTAGGAAATAGCGATATTGGACTAGGGGCATCTGTTGTGGGAACTTTCGCAGATAGACAACTTTTTCACTGGACTACCATTGATACAAAAGTTAAGCAACATGGATTTCGGATGCACTGGCACTATCAGACAAAATCGGTTGGGGAAATGCCCGCTGACTAAATCAAAAATGAAGAAATTGCCCAGAGGTTCTATGGATGCATACGTAAATTCAACAAAGAATGTTTGTTTGATTTACATCCAACTAAATTAGCACGACGTTATTCTGCTGCAGAAAAAAAAATATATTACGGTAGAAATGGCACATGCAATTCACCAGTACAACACTCATATGGGTGGTACGGATTTGATGGATAGAAATATTTCCAACTATCGTCCGGAACTGCAATAAATGGTGGTGGCAAGTTTTTATATACTTGTTATGTGCCTCGGTCTCCAATGCATGGATTTTATACAGAATTTCCGAAGATGCGAAGAAAAAGAGCAACCTAGTACTGAGGAATTTTTAAGAAATTCCAAAACCCTTGACTTAAGGTGTGATTACGAAGACGGCGACAGCGACAAGCGATCGCGACAGACGACAGCGACACCTGTCGTTATTGTGTTGCGATTCCACTGATCTTTTAAAATCAAATGAAGTAACGTCAGAGTCCGACGAGCGGTGTCGCGCGACAGTTTTTATCCAACATGTTGTCTAAGCGACCGACGAAGCTACCGGTATTTGTCCAGTACTGTCGTGTCGTTATTCATATGCACACGCAGATTTTTGACAAAAATGGATTTTACCGGGGAGGAAGAAGACAAATTAATTAATTTAGTATGTAAATATCTGTTTGTGACACTACTCGTAGTATGGAGTCGCTGAATAAATGTTTTTTATGAGTAGAGAATAACTTCCTTTCCTAGGTCTGTTTTTAAACAGAGGTAAAATGGGTTTTCGTCTTTTCTTTGCAACAAGTAACAATAATATTTCGTCCTCTTCATCATCTTCCATCAGTAATTCAAGTAACACATTTTTATCAATCACGTAATCAGACATATTTATTAATTATTATAACTACTTCGCGAACGTCATATAAACACTGACAACTACATCGTGGATCTCGCTCATATTGTCGTCGACATCGACAATGATATGACGACAGCGACAAACGACACTGTCGCCTGTCGTTGTCGTCTGTCGCGGTGGCTTGTCGCTGTCGTCGTCTTCGAAATCATACCTTTATTAGGATTTATCAGATACTATGTGTCATCATATTTACTTCTAAGACACCAAGAGAGCAAACAAGGAAGAGCCAGTTCAACTATATATTATTTCGAAATGGTTCAGATGCTGTTTCTCGTAATTTGTCGGTTCTGCATTTCCCAAATAGCGTAAAGCAGAATAGATGTAAAGTGTGTAAAAAATACTACATTTGGTTGCGGCATATGTAATGTTAATATGCATCTGCTCGATTGTTTTAAACAGTTTCATGAACGTGTTTCTATGTAGTATGTAAAAATGAAGAATTAACAATAAATAATTACTATATTCCATAAATTTTGCATTCAGTGTTACCAATACTTAGATGTATCCAAGTTCCAAATTTGCAACAGTTTTTCATTTTCTTTTCAATATTTTTTCAAGGCTTAAAGAATTAAACTATAGGCAGAAATGTTACAAAAATTAATTTTTAAAGTTTGGCGTCGAATGGGTTAATTTCGATTTTATTCATTACTCTAATTTATAGAAATCGATATAATTTTAATAATCTCTTTTCTTGATAAACCAAACAGTAACCGAAATTAAAAGCAAAGATGGAAATCTTGATTGATTACAATGACAAAAGGACTACCTTGAAGTGTTAATTAATCTGAAGTCGTCTGGCAGAAACCTCTATTTCGGTTTGGTTAAAGTTCAATTTTCTTAAGTGCCCTATAAACAGTGATAAAGAAGTAAAACGGTTCAAATATTAAGACTGGAGTAGTGGTGGAACAATTTATATTATACGCAGTAATTTCCATTTTATTTTCATCAATCAATCAATCTTCAAAAGCTTTGTTAGTCACCTTCAAATTTTACCAGATAATCTCCAAAAGGTGTCATATAGTATTATTTTTTCCATAGCAAGTGTTAAAATTGACTTATATCTATCAAAAATAGTAGATATAATAGTACTTTAACCGCAAGGGTAGATTAAATGATATAGGTTAAAAACTTTATTTCTTCTCGCACGTTTTTTAATTGCTTCCATTTTTGAAAATTTTTGTATTCCTTTTCATAAGTTTCGGGATTTAAATGGAAGTAGTTTGGATATGGCGTCTGTCGCCTCAGCCTGAATATCTGTTTGTAATTTTCTTATTTCTTCTATTATATATTTGAGTCATTTTTGGCTCCAATTCAATCAGCAATCGACACGAAGGAGAATTAAAAAATATTGACTCAAAACTGACAGCTAAAAAGACAGCTTTATTTATTTGTCAAATTACATAGAAACCAGCGCCAATCCAGCACAATATTTTTTCTACTCGTAATAAATTCCTTGACATAATAATTTCTGAATATTTTTTTAAACGTAACTCGCTATGGAAAATATATTGTTTTATACACGATGATAAAATTGCATTATCGTCTCCCGAAATTAATTAATTTATTAATAAATTAATTTTTTCGGTAGACGGTAAAATACCATTTTATCGTCGTGTATAAAAAATAACTATATAAACGTTCTGAACTGATTTCATTGAAGCCTATAATGAAATTCCATATCACATTAGACGCCAAAATTAATTCTAACATTTGACAACTAATCACAAAAGCAAATATCAAGTAGTTGTAAGTATTGCAATTTATTTTGCAAAGAAATAGTAAATATTAATATCAATTGTGGCATTTAAAACATCCTTTTTTGTCCTAATCGACAGGCATATGAAGCAGTAGGTAATTAATTGTTCCTGTAATGTCAGTGAAATGTCAAACTATTATTGTTTGTTGGCAGTTACTCTATTAATGATGGTTTTCAGTCTAGGAGTTTTATCGGCTATTGTTGCTTCAATTGGACATAGTAGGCTATGGTACATAGTACATAGTAATAAAACCTAGTACACATAAAACCGTCTCTACTAGAGTAACCGCCAACAAATAATAATAATAATAAAACTTTTCAATGACAGTTACAGTAGTACAAAACAATAAACGCTGTTTTAAAGGTGTGTTGATTAGGACCAAAAACAAAATCTATGTATTATTACGAGTATTATTATTTTTATAATATTTATATAATATTTTCCTCGTATAATAGAGAGATGGGAGAAGTCATCTTAAAGTCAATTTTAAAATACACGAAAATGTTGAGGTATCCGTTTTTCACGTTGATCAGTATAATCCTTGGTATACTATTGCTATTGCTGTATCTGTATACTATTGCTATTGCTGTATCTGTATTGATTACCCGCCTATAAACAAGTATGAAACTATCAGCTAAAGCTTTATACAGTCAGTTTTTGTATTAAACACTGGAATGCCAATTCAGACCATGCAATATAAATAGAACCAAATAAATTTACAGATATACTGCTAATTTTGCATAAATACAATTCTATTCTGGAAATTATGAGACAGAAAACTAGCTATCATTAGAAAATCATAACTATCTATCAAAGAACTTACAACAATTTGAATTTTAATGGAAAAACAATTTTAGAAGTTGGAACATTGCAATATGAAAAAAAAACTACGGGGATAATCTAAAAAGTTTTCGAGTCTGGTACAGAGATGGGAAAATTACTTTATCTGCAGTAGTCTAGATAATAACACTGCGTTTGACATCAAAACGGCGGATGTTGATGACATATAAAACCATACGACTTTACATAATTTTAATAAGTGTGGCTACTATGTTTTATCGTATATTTTTCTATTGTAGTTTTTTTGCAGTGTATACGAAATCACTGACGACGCATATTTGTATTCGTAAACGCGCCTTAAATGTTTAAATGTCATTAACTTGACAATGACAATTTGTGTAATCGCAAAACATTTTCCGATGCACGTCATCAATCATATCGACATTGACACTAAAGTCTATAAACTTGACTAAATGAAATTTTGGCAAAAATGTTTAAATTTGTTGTATAATTTAAGATGCCGAGCAGCTCTTCATTTTACTTTATAGAGCAAATGATTGTAACAGATATTTTAATTAGAATAAAGCTGCAAAAACTAGTTTAAACCGAATTTTATTATCGCTATGTTGGTCACATTGCGCCGTTTTCAGCAAGGTTGTCGTTTATTATTTGACAATTATCCTAATGTCAGTCATTATTTTGTATAATATCGTGTTGTTTTTGAATCTTTGCGAGAATTCTCGTTTTTTTGCATATTTTCATAGTCTGTTTTTAAAAATTGTACTTTTAAGCACAAACAGTTCTTTTAAGAACTAAATTTTCGAGTTTTTGTATTGCATTTCTTGAAATTGTGTGCTGAAAATATGCCGAAGCATTGAAACAGCTTTTAACTTCCCTGATAAACTATTTTGAGCGAGAACGTGACGATAAAGGTCCTTTATTACCCTTGACTACAGTCAGAGAAGTAAGTTTGATTGATAAGCACATTACACCACTTTCAAATCTATTTCTACGTTAGTTTTTATTAAATTCTGTGATTATTAGTTTGCATTAATAGCACCCTCTTACTTGTTATTACTAGGGGAAAACCGCTATGAAACGGACGGGTGTTGAAACGGACATTTGTCTTAAGTCCTATTTGATTGAATAGCCGAAACTTTTACGGTTACATTTGGCAACCCCGCGCGCCGCTTCCATTACCACCAAAATTGCGGGCTGAATTGGCTGATCGTGTCTCGGCGGCAAGAATTTTAATATTAGGTGTTAAAAAACTAATTTTCTTTGTGAAAATATCGAACTATGTCACAGGTAAGCTATTGAAATTTTGTCAAATTCAGATTAATAAGTTTAAAACTAAGTTATTATAGTACACAAATGAAGGTTTAGACCGTATAAAATATTTCTCTATTTACACTTTATATTGTCATTTAGTGGTTAAGTGGGTGTTGTCTTGAAATGGACAAAAGACGCCGTATTGAAATGGACGTGTCCGTTTCAATACTACATGTCCTTTTCAAGGCTTTGTGACAAGTTTGTTAAGGAATAGTAGATAATTTTTAAACTTTTCATTAAAATTAGTTGTTTATTTTTCAGATCAATATTTCTACACGAAAGAAAAGGTTACGACCAGCCAGTGAAGTTTTTGATAAAAATCAATCTATCCGGTCGGTAGCGGCAGCCCATAACTTTTCCAAACCTTACTTAGCTTCAATTTGTAAAAGAGCTAGAACTCAGAAGGAAGATTATCGTCATCGACCTAACATAGTTAATAAACGTATTTTCTCCCTTGAACAGGAAAAATTATTGGTTGATTATCTGAAAACATCATCAAAGATGTGTTATGGTCTCACAACCGTGCAAGTCCCTTGTTCCTTAACTTGCCTACCAGTATGCAAAGGCTCAGTGAATTTTACAGAAACCTTGGAAAAAAAAAGAAGATGACATCAAAAGACTGGCTACTTGGTTTTATGAAAAGAAATTCAACATTAAATTTAAGAAAACCCAGAAAACACTTCTCTCTCTAGAGCGACTTCATTCAATCCAACGAATGTCAGTAATTTTTATAGCAATTTGGAGCGAGCTCTGGAAAAACATAAATTTAAGCCCCATATGATTTGGAATTTAGACGAAACCGGCTGTCTAACGGTTACAAATCCTCCAAAAGTTTTAGCAACTAGGGGTTCAAAACAGGTCGGGCAAGTGACTTCAGTCGAAAGAGGTAATTTAGTTACGATGCTTGGATTTATTAATGCCTCTGGAGGAACAATTCCTCCCGTTTTTATATTTCCCAGAGTGCATTTTAAGGAAATTATGCTGAAAGAAGGGCCTAGTGTCGCAAAAGGAATTTCCAATCCAAGTGGTTGAATGACGGAAGAAGGATTTTTGGATGTGAATTACTTCCACCGGTAGAAACTTAATGATAGTGAACAGTCAAGTAAAAAAGTTCCTCTATGCCAATTTATACCAAGAGAAAACAGAGAACCCAACACTCAACCTCACGAAAACAATAACGTAATAAATAAAGATAATTGTGTCTGTTGCAAGAAAGCGTATCAATGTACCAAAGCAGACTAGTTAAAGTGTTTCTTATGTTCTTCTTGGGCACATGAAACATGTGGTATTCAGGGTATTCGAAATTTTTATTGTAATAACTGCTCTTAAGATATAGTTTGTTTAAATTAAAGTTATTTTTGAAGCAATTAATGTCTTTTAACATAAATGTTCTTTTCATAACCACTACTGTCCATTCCAATACATCGATGTTTTGAAATGGACAAAGCAACTTTTTCAAACTTAGATATTACTCCCAATTACAATATTTCCAAAATAAATTTAGTAATATATTTTAAAAGCATATTGATGAAGCTTTCAAACTATGTAGTTTTTAATTAATTTCATTATCTATTAATAATTAATATAACTCCTTTTAATAATATGTCCACTTCATAGCGGTTTTCCCCTACTTATGGCGTTGTAAGAGATGTACATCAATAAAAAAAAATAAATAACCCATAATAACGCTTAGAATAATCGTCATAATGGACTGGTTTTTGCCAATTTGTAATAAGTAAAATAAGCTATAAAAGAAAGTCACTGTTAAATTTGGATTCATCTCATAACTCCATCACAATCTTGGCAACGGCCCAGCTACGTCGAAACACCGGTTCCCATTAGAGCACCGAAGGTAAGCGGCGTAAGGCGATACTAGTGGATGGACGGGTGACCGGTTCGAAACTCTGTATCGTGCTGTTGTCCAAAAAAAAAGGCAAAAGTGTAAAATCTATTGACACACACTGCTCATTCACGCCGGTTCGAGGCCGGTTGAGATCGGATATCTCGTGAGTAAGAGTCGATTTAGACACTTGCCAAGTCGGGGTAGGCCATTGACCGTGATATGGCCGAGGACCGCGGTTCGGATTCCGCGTAAACAAAATAGGCCCCGTCCAGATTAGCCCTGGCAGCAAAAAGGAGACGTTAACTGAAATCTTTACTTTTTTACAATCTGGCAGCGCTGTAGCCATCGCTTGTCACTCAAAATTGATCACGTGCATCGGAAATTGTTTTGCGATTACTCATAGTCACGTTCTATGTGGAAACATATAAGTTATCAGCAATGCCAAAAGTATGTTTTGGTTGCCGTTTGTAAGAATATAAGCACTTATTTTAAATTTTTACCTCCAAATGGGCCTTAAAACAGAATCAATTGCTGTACATTATATTATTTAGATACTTTAGTCAGCAATTTATATAATATAAATTAATAAAGCTATAAAATGCGTTTGTGTAACTTTTGAGAGTTAGTCCAGTTATTTCCACACCGAACTTTTAATAAGTTTCAACGTGAGTTGATTTGAGTGTTTTTGTAAAAAAGGAAGGTTCAATTCTAAAAATACTTTTACAATATGTATTTATTATGTCAAAATGTTATTATTTTCCAAGCTTTGTATAGAATATGTCTGAAAATAATAGACATTTTAATAAGAATAAGACGAAATAGGATCTATCCAAATATTAAGAAAAATACTATTTCAATTTCTAAATATTTTTGAAAAGCTCTGAATAATGATATATCAGAAAACATATAACAACACAAAACTAGATTTAGTTGCTTATTATGGAACAAACTTTAATAAATCATATATACCAAGACACCATTAAAATATATAAAAAAATCTGTTACTAAAGGTTATTTTAAATGTTAAATATGAAATTTTCCAAAAATAATTGCACATATTCTGTAGTCAATATATTTTTTTTAAGTTAGGCTGCATCTATGCTGCCATTATAAAAATAATGAATTATTCCATATATTCACTTTCGGAGAAATCAACATAGAACGTTAAACTCAAATTGTAAAAATGAACATTATTAAATACTGACTAAATCAATTTTTAAAGTTTCAAACTATTTAGTTTAAATATTACGGCGTTAGAGAAATTAAATGCAAACAAACAAAAAAATCATCAAGTATTAACTTACCTTCCCTATTATAACCATCATTATTCTGATAATAAAAATCCATAGCAACTCCGTCATCGTTCACTTTACCAATGCTCACGCCCATGCTATCACTAATACTAAAATCCACCAACACTCTTTCTAACAATGGTAAGTCTCTTCCTTTTTTACTGTGATCCAGTTTTAAAACTACCCCATTCCCTAACTCCAGACCCTTTCCAGATTCCAATCCCCTAACCAGTCAGCACTATGTACTTTCGAACAACCAAAGAAACACACAAGAACAGAAATATAAAACAATCTCATCGTATTCACTATATATTCAGTTCTAACTTTATATATATTACTCAAGCTACTTAACGGATTTTTTTCTACAATTTTGATTGAAAAGCCGAACTAAATAAGGCGATGATATAAAGCTGTATGCTTTATATTGGTTTACGGATGGTAAGCAACCCTAAATAATGTTGCGTGATATATTATACTAAAGCAGCTATAAACGCGATGTTTTTTAATAATACGCCAGTTTATCGTGTCTGCAAAATTGAACTAATTTGTTATATGGAAATTACTATTAGTAGGTAAATGTGTTAGATTCGTTTAGCTAAACTAGATGCATTAATCATCGACATTTTTATACGGTTCAATTGAAAACTGGCGGTAAAGATCTTGGTTTAAAAATTAATATATGTGAAATGAAAAAAGTATTGAATGATGAATTTGAAAACCGTAATTATGAATTTTGTTTGCTGGAAGTAGAAGAAAGTTTGAATACATATAAAAGAAATACAGGGTGTCTCAATATTCCGTGGACATAGAACTACTACGTATCTATTATTGGAATCAAAATAAGTCCATTCGACACTATTTACTTCTATGCAAAAGTGCTTCGTTTCTCCGTTAAAGGACATGAAACTTTAAAAAAATAAACAATTGTTTTCAGATATTTTAAGAACCGTTATTCCGATTTGAATGAGATTGTGTATGTTTAGCTAAGTGCTTTAACATTCGATATTCACAAACATCAAGAAAAAGTACGGAAAGGTTGGAAACTACCCCCACCTCTACGGAAATTTTTCTATAAATATTTTCCAACTTAACCGACGGCGACGACCGGAATGGTCATTTACAGAAACAGTACTGGGAGAATTTTCAGGTCAGAGGCTTAGAACACCCTCAAAAACAAAATTCCACTTCTCCAACTCTCAGTGGATGACATACCAAAAATTTATAACTTTGAGAAACATCTCACTGTAGTATTGTGTAATAAAAAGGATTGGGAAGGAAGAAACGCTTACTCAGCATATAAAAGACCATACCATAACGTGGTATACTGATGCTTCCAAAACCAAAGAAGCAGGGACAGGGATAGGAGTATTTGGGCCGAAAACTAAATACTCCAAACCAATGGGCACCTACCCCAGTATCCTTCAGGCAGAAATTTACCCTATCGAAAGATGCATACAATTTATCTTAGAACTATCGAAAACAGGAAATTGCCATCCTATCCGATAGTCAAGCAGCACTAAACGCAATCAACTCAGTAACCATCAATTCGAAGTTGGTCAAAGAATGCCTAGAGAAGCTCAACAAATTAGGCAAAGAAAATAAAGTCCTCTTACCCTGGGTGCCTGCTCACCAAGGGATAGAAGGCAATGAAAAAACAAATGATCTAGCTAGGAAAGGAGCGAACACTCCACTAACTGGACCAGAACCGTTCTGTTTTCCAAACGGGAACCAACTGAAAGCTGAACTGAAGAGTCTGGAGGACTCCATCCGTAACTTGGAATGGGTATCCTCCAACGGTCTAAGACACTCGAAAAAATTCCTCAGAACTTACGACCGAGAAAAATCAAATGTTTTCCTTGATTTTTTAAGTAAAAACAATCTTCGAATTGTCACGGGGTTTCTAACAGGACACTGTAGCCTCAACAAACACCTCAGTAGGCTGAAGCTGAGAAACAACGGCGAATGCAGATTCTTGGGGATGAAGAAAATGGGGAAACAGAACACCTTATCACTGAGTGCGCCGAGACGACGACCATTCGTGCCATGAACTTTGGTACGGCTTATGTCGAGGATGGAGAGCTGGCCTCTGTGGAGCCGTCTCAGATACTGGCTTTTGGTAGAGCCCTGAGACTGTATGGTGAGTTATAACTCGTTATAACTCAAGAAAGGGGAACAAACAATAGATCTGTAAGGTCGCGGTGATTAACTCCCCTCCTAAACATTGTACATTCTACAACCGACGATCGATTTTTTTTCGTAAAATGGTCCTTCCAGTATTTACTACATTTTTTGTTTGCTTGTAAAAAAGTCACCGCACATACTTTTGAGGAAAGAAATATTTTTCCAAAGCTGACTTCTAAAAAATGTTTTTTGTCACATCAAATTATGGAGGAGCATAAAACCTATTGTGCTTTTAATTAAAGTTTTATTAAATTTTAATATAGTTTTTTAAACTTTGATGCTCTCTAGCGGACAAACGAAGCACTTTTGTAAAAGGTAAATTGTGTCAAATGAACTTATCTTGATTCCAAAGATACCTAGTAGTTCTATGTCCACGGAATATTGGGACACTCTTTATACTCTTTATACTCAATATGGAACTACTTTTTAGCCGACCATACCAATAGGTATGGTAGGCTATTAAGATCGACAAAAAAAAGTTATTTTTTATTATTGGATTAAATACGGAATAATGAAATTTAACGGGTATCTGTAACAGGCACATGTTTTTTTGGGTATATATCTCATAATTGACATTTAAATTCTGACCATTAGATAAAAAACGAGAATCGGCTGATATTGGTTAAAAAATGTCTCCGCAATGAACACTTAACCAACAGCAGCAGCTGAGCACGGCAATGTTGGACAGGGTTGAATTGGGTGAACTCCTGGTACTACAGTTGCATCAGCAAGGCCACAAATCTTTGTTGAGTTGGAAAACAGGGTGGATGTCTCGACATCATATGATCACAGGCAAATGAATGTAAAAATAAAACCACCACAGCAAAAAAAGGAAAACCAGGAAAAAGTAAAAACCGGAAAGAAAAAACCCTGTGGGCAATATTTAAATTAATATTTGTGGATTTTAGGTATGATACTTTAGGTAACTCATCCAGCTACCATTGACAATTAACAATATTAGTGGATGCATTTCAAAATTGTCCAAATCTAATGAAAATTATTAAAAGAATAAGAATAGAAAAGGCAAAAAATGTGATTAAGTTAACTTACCCAATATCTGGCTACATGGTACACCAAAAAAAAATCTACTTTGGTTCAGGCAAACCCTTGTAAAAATTTATAATATTCTTCAACAGCACCCAAAAATTCCACTAGTAACCCCCACAGGAACGATACAGGCAAGGATTCTACCAAAAAAACGATCTCCTCTCAATCACCACGCCAAGATGGTGATCGGAGGCAAAAAGAACAATCATCGACCAAAATGAACCTCCAAAGATTTGACAATCCAAAAATGACATCAGAAAACTGAATTTAGCGACGTTGCCGTACAAACCAAATAACCAGGTATTTGGGGGGAAAATATTAGAAAGATAAATTGAAAAGAAATTGTCAACACTGCGTAGCTCACTCTCTGCTGTTAAATATATATAAAATAATTATAAAGACATAATATATTTAAATATTATAATTAATTAAGAGAAATTTATAAATAACTAATAAAAAGAGAAAGGGCTATTATCAAAAAAGGTAGCAAGTTTAAAAAAGCATGCTACAACGTGTCCAGTACAAATAAAGACACAAGCGATTATCTTCTTCTTCTTCTTCTTCTTACTCTATATTAGGCAGATTGTCTGTTTATTCTTCACATCATGCCTTCAGTTTCAATCGATGGTAAGGTTTATCACACCATCTTTTTCTTGGCCTTGCCGAACTTCTTTCCAGCGGTGATTTGTCTCGACTGACCTTACTATTCTTCCCTCGTCCATTCGGCTTAAATGTTCATTCCGTTCGCGTCTTCTAGCAGGTGGGTAGCATTGATGCTACCCACCTGTGCTGTCGCTTCGTTCTCTATCTAGCAGCGTTTTACCTGTGATTTTGGGAAGGATTTTCATTTCGCTTGTTTCCAAGAATCTTTTTTATTTTTTCTATATCCGGCCTGGTTTCTGCTGTGTAGGTCATTATAGATCTGACGACAGCCTTGTATTATATTCTTGACTTGACCTCGACACATATGTATTTATTTTTCCCTATGGTTTCGTTCAGACATCCAGGCACTCTCATTGCTTTTGTTGTTTGTTGTCTTACCTCTGTTTCGATATCGCCTTAACCGGATAACTTTATGCCGAGACATTTAAATTTCATTTCTTGCTGTATTATTGTGTTACCCACAACAATCTTGCATCTGATAGGTATATTTGATGTTGTCATGATCTTTGTTTTGGATGCAGAGATTATCATGTTATAAGATTTTGCTAATAGATTGAAGCGATATTCTAGTCTTTGGAGGTCGTCCTCGTTTTCTGCGAATAGCACAGCGTGCGTCGCGTCGTTGGCATAACAGAGAATTGTCATATTGCGGTCTCCCATTTTATATCCATTTAAATGGCGCACTTGTTTGATTATTTACAAGCTGTTAATTACAAGGGATTGTATAAACTTAAAAGGCAACCTATGTTTCGAATATGGAGAACTAATCTGTACAACTTCGTCTGAGGTACTGGCTTTTGCTAGCTCTGAGACTGTACGATGAGTTATACATACATACATACTGCCATTACCCGCTAACGAGTAGACACGCATCAGAAGATAAACGCAAGGCGTTTTCATTCATAAGCTTTTCTGTGACTGAAAAGCCCGATACGTAATGTTATCTGTCTACCACATTCCGGACATTCAAAAATCTCATTGCTTTGCTGCCTCTTTACTTTTTGTTTGTCGCTGTTAACTGAATTTACAATTCTTTTCCATTCCGTTATATTGTAAGCTGCTTCCTCCCACTCATTCTGCTTGCTAATCCCCTTTAAGTTTTTGTGGAAGATATCCTTGTACTTTTTGAGTTGTCCATCCGGCCTCCTCTTACCGTCTACAAGCTCACCGTAAAGCAGAGATTGTGGCATGCGGTTGTCTTGCATTTTGCATACGTAACAAGCCCATCTTAAGCGGGACTTTGTAATCATGACTCCAATTCTCTCGCAGTTAGCTTTTTCAAGAACCGATACGTTTGAGACATGATGGAACCATTTGATTCTTAAGAGTCGTCTAAGATTATCAACAATCAACAATGTCTAAGATTATCCATAAGTCTCTGTTACAACTTCTTTAGTGCGTTAATCTGTCGGCGGTACGGCATCGGCACCCAGGTTTCGTTTCATATAACATGGTGGGAATTATTATTGCTCGGTACACTGTAAGTTTCGTTTTTGTGCTCAAGTCATGATTGTAGAAAACCCTGTGTTTTAATTTTCAGAATGCTCTTGAGGCGCTGCTAATCCTGTGCTGAATTTCATAGATATTGGCCTTTTCTGGAATCAAATTGCCGAGGTAATTGAATTCCGCTACATATTCCAATAGTTCTTCTCCGATTTTTATAGCATTGTTGTGATCTTCCGGAGGAGTGCACATAATTTTAGTTCATCAGCGTCATCAGCGTATTGATGTTCTGTGATGAATTTTGTACGTGTTTTTGCCCTGAGTCTTATTATGTTGAACAGACCGCCGTCGTATCTGTATCTAATGCCCAAACCTCTCTCCGATCAGTTATAACTGAAGAAAGGGGACCCCCTGCCATGCAATATACAATCTATTGATTAAAAATGATATTTTTTCCGTAGATAACTTACATTTGTACACTTTTGTAAAATTGAAAAAGGAACAATATTTTCAAGTTTTTTTTGTATGTCAAAATATTTTCGGTATTTTCTCAAATATTCATTGGGTAGGTACCTTAAAACATCATGTTTCTTAAGTATAATTTAAGAAATTAAAAATAAAGTACGCTACATTAACTTTCTTAAATTTCGCTAATTAAAATCGGGAAAGAATAAATCTTTTAATGGACTGAATTAATTTTGTAAACGTAGAAGGTAAACGCAAGAAAGCTTTGGATAACAAAATAAGGAAAAACATTTTTTCCCGACGAAAAAGTAAATTAAAAAACCATTTAAAATTATTCTGGAATAATCTTGCAGGGTATATATTATCATAATAATATTTTATCTCATTTTTTCTTTGTCTCGCCAAGCCTGTCGCCTGAGGCTATTGGAATTTATTTCTGAATATTTTTTTTTTCACGAAATTCTATTATCGTAAGAAAACTTACACATCTATACGTAATATAAAAAAATAAATTTCGGTGTAAACAAATAAAAAATATGATATAAAGGAAAACTTCAAACTCTTAAAAGTCTAAATATAAAATATTCTCTATATATCTGTGGCGGACCGGACCACTTGTGGAACTTCAATTAGAAGAATTGCCGTTTTGATATCACTCATTCTGAGACCCTGTCCCTAGGGATGGAATAATGGGATTATTAATTGTTGTAATTTGTAACTAGTCTGTGGCATTGAGGAAAGGAATGACTTCCGTTATGCTCTCTCCGGCAATATCTTCAAGATCTACGAAGGTTGCAGGTAGCCTCTTAGGAATTCAAAAGCATACTAGTAGTAGAGATAGCGGGACACTGTGGAATTTTTGCTCGGCGCCATGTGTGTCCATCAACAACGATCTATTAACTGAAGAAGTATTTTCTTTGAGTTCTGTGAAAGTCATTTGTTATAAAGAAAAATAACTCTTGTGTTAGAGGTGGTTTAGTTCTTGTAAATTTACCCGAGGCTGTTAAAAAGAGGACTCAATGCTTGTCGACGAAGCAAGTCTCGAGCTTCAAGTAAGAGCTTACCGGTGGCCTCATCAGTCGCGCATATTGACCACTGGTGGCTGACACAAATCATAACACCAAATTAAATCGAGAAAATTCCGTAGATATATTTTAAAAATGGATGTGAACTAACACTACTGACTGTATTTTTATAATTCAACGACAACGAAGAGAGAGCGCAAAGAAAAATTATGGACTACCTTATTATCTGAGACACCATTATTATCTGAGAAATAATAAAATAGTCTTTATATAATTTCGTTGCTATAATCTTCTCATTTACTGTCCCACATAATTGGTTTTCCTTCAATGGTAGTTATACCGTGTGGTGCATCGGATCACGGGACTGGAAATCCCATGTAAATTTTGAAAAAATCCAATATCATCTCCCCAAATGGTTTTATGCAAAAGCTGTATTAGACTTTTTTGAAGAGACGTTAAAGTTGTACTTTTGTGTAGAATTTATTTTTATTTGGAATAATCAATTAAAATTAAATTACAAAAACCTGCCTTCAAACTAGTAAAATTTATAATACGGACCAGAGAAAGCTACAATTAAAACACCAGCAAAAACGTGATTGTGTCATTGTCAAATTCGATGTGACATTTTCTTTATAAGAATTTGCAAATAAAGTAATTTTTTATAAAATAGTTATGATTCTCGCAACTTTTGTAAAGGTTACGATAGTTAAACGGCATTTTGCTGGAAATAGTATTCCCGCTATATTAGATATATTTACAGCTCAGTCTCCAGAAAGCCTATATCGAAGAAGCCAACAGTTTAAAGAATAAACCGAAGCGGAGGTTTGAAACTAAAGTCACTAAGGTATTAAGCACATGGAAGTGGACACGCGGAAGTGTGTTGGTACACGGGCGGATCCAAAAACGAAAAAGGATCTGGAGCAGGAATTTACTGCAGCAGTCCAAAGACTGAGATCTACTACAGTCTTGGAAAACACACCACGATCTTCCAAGCTGAGCTATATGCTATTGAAACCTGTGTGCAACTGCTGGTAGAACAGCAATACACCGGGAAAACAATATGCATATTTTCGGATAGTCAAGCCGCGCTGAAAGCACTTGAGGCAACGAAAAGCACGTCAATGACGATTCTTCATTGTAAGAAACTACTCAATATACTGGGAGATAGAAACAAAGTGTCGCTAATATGGATACCGGGACATGTCGGCCTAGAGGGAAATGAACGTGCTGATTCCCTCGCCAAAATTGGTGCAGGCTCGCCATTCGTGGGCCCAGAACCGACACTTAGCGTTCCTAAAAACTCGCAAGAGACAGGCTCTGTGAATGGGTTAGGAGTGCGACGTTCCGAGACTGGAATGACAGTCCCGGAATGGAACATGCCAAGAAAATCCAAGCAGGGCCATCCAAACATAGAACAGGAGAACTCCTAAAGGCCGGTAGGAATGGAACGCGTGTGCTCACTGCAGTGTACACGGGCCACTGAGATCTCACCTACAGAGGACGGGACTGGTGGAAGACGCCGAATGCCGACTCTGTATGGAAGATGACGAAACAATGAAGCACGTTATGTGTACCTGCCCCGCTGGGAGCGTTTGAGATGTTTGGCAAACCCATGCTAGATTTATCAGACCTAGGAGACATATCGTCCTCAGACATAACGGCCTATATTAGGAGGCTGGGTCTTGAGGGTGAACTTTGACGCTCTTGTAAATTAGAGCGTGTAGAAACTGAGCCACAATAGGCCCTCGCGGCCTCAGTGGAGGGTCTCCCCATGGGACCCACTCTTAGTCAATACAATACAATACAGGGAAGTGGTAACGACAAAAATAACCGAACAGGAAGAAAATAATGATGCCGTGAATATTCTTCATATTGAAGACAAGAAAAACATTGACTCCCGTTTATTAGGGATACAGTAGGAAAAGACCACAGGATCTTTCGCCGAACGACTTCTTCCTGTGGAGCACAGTCAAAAACCGTTTCTATGGGCGTATTAAATACAGATATTCAGATAGACTGAAAACGACACCTCTGTAGAATGCTAAAGATTCTACTCTTAACAATTTTGTATTGTGAGGCGTGAATTTCACAATCATTTGGGGTATTGGGCTATGAATAGAGAATTATCTAAACATTTTGTTAATTAGGATAATTTAATAAAGTTAATTTAGATACAAATATTTCTTTTTTTTTTTTGTTAAATTATTGTAGATGTATTTGGTGGGCCGTATTATAAATATTTAGTAATTTAAAAGTAGATTTTTGCAAATAAGTTTCAGATGCCTATTCCAAATAAAACGAAATTTTAGACGACTAACA